AAATGAATGACGTCTACTAATGGAGGATTGCCTGGTGCAGGAACTTTGCAATAACGGGCTTAGACTGCAATAAAGTTACCTTCATTAAAAATCCGTCAACCAGCCAAGATCCGCTAATAATATTCAATAAAAAGTAGGCTTTGATACCCTTCAAACGAGCAGTAAGACGTTTGCTTATTGGTCGATCTAAATTCGTCCTTTAAGGAGTCAGTTTTCATTACAGATACCTAGGTAATGCACTGAGAACGCTATTCCTGGGGCCTTCAGTAGATGGACGTGGCTAATCAGAATCCCATTATTGTTTGCCAGCAAAGAGCAGCTATCAGACTGATGTAGATTTATTAGGAGGGGCCGAAATAGTGTCTTGCGTCAGTTCGAGGCGGGAGGATTTTGCAGACGGGAGTAAATTGCAGGCGACACTACCGGACTGGCAGGAATGGGCGGTTCGATATGATTGTACAATTTTAGAATTTTACGAGTCATTCTTTCGACGTAGGCTCAATTTTCAGGGAGAAGCGAATCCCGCGCTTCGTGAACCTTTTACTTAGAATCCAATTGACTTGAGACACAATATGGAGAACATTTTCGCCTCGAATGTCACACCTGAATACGGATGGGATGCTGAGAGACTAAAATGCCGTCAATGTTCACTCATTGCCTGTTATTTGGTGTTTCTACTCGGCGTACCGGTAACTGCCTGATTCTTCGTGTCTACTGGACCAAGACTCGTAAGACCACGCGTTATTTGCCAGTTGAGTTTCTGTAGAGAACAATGTAGCTAGAAGCCATGCGAAACTTTATTAGATATCGCATTGTAGAGAATAGACATCAACAGAATTTCAACTGAGTTGAGGGTTGTTATGTTGTGCAGGTGAGCATTCAATATAAAATGATTCCTGTTCGCTATTCCTAGGGCGATACAAGACGGACATGGATAATCAAAATAGCCCATTATTGTCTGCCAGTAGACAGAAAATAAGACCTTCTTGAATGTTGACAAGTCAGTCTTCATCACTGTTACCTAGGTAATGCACTGTTCCTACGACGCACACTATAGATGGACGTGGATAACCAGAATGATAACCCATTACCGTTTGCCATCAAACAGCAGTTATCAAATTAGATTATTAGAAAGGCCTAAAAAAGTGTCTTGTGTCAGTTCGAGACGGTAGAACTTAGGCTAAAGCGTCACAATCTACCAAACTGGCTAAAATGAGCGGTTCGAAATGCATGCAAACTTGTAGAATTTTACGAGTCACTTGTTTGACTTGGGCGCAATTTTCAGTGCGTCCTCGCACTCAGTGAAACCTTACTCAGAAGTAATAATCCAGTCGATTTGAAACACAACTGGAGAATATGTTTGCCTCGAATGCAACATCTGAATACGAATGGGATGCTGAGAGACTAAATGTCAACTTTCAATATACTTTTCCTCCTCTCGTTAACATTTTGGTGTTTCTACTCGGCGTACCCGGTAACTGCCTGATTCTCCGTGTCTACTGGACCAAGACTCGCAAGACAGCACTGATATTCTGATCAGAGCCCTGGCCTGGGCTGATCTGGCCGTCTGCTTGCTGAGTATCCCGGCGATTATTGTGTGGTCTTTATTTGTGTCCGGAAAGTTTTTGGCGTATTCATTCATCCTACCGCTTATCGACGCTGTTATCAATGCACTTACTGACGCAGCAATAGTCTCGTCATTCAGTATCACTGCGGTGATTGCGGGTAGAACGCTATGACTGCGTATGCCGTCCGCAAAAACGGATTTTCAATCCACGACGTCTAAGATAGCTATTTTGGTCGCAGTGTTGTTTGCGATTGCTATAAAGGCAGGACAACTAACCCTGGAGATATGCTTTATAACGTCAGACACCCTACCCACTTCTGTACAGGCGTACTGGGAATACAAGCGATTGCACAACCAGTATTATTTGTGGTCGCGTTAGTGACAATGGTTGTGAGTTACGGGAAACTTTACGCCACCATCCGTAAACACGTCCACGTAGGACCCGCCCATCACCCAACTGCAAGTGATGAACGAAGGCTGAATCTGATGAGAGTTGAACGTCAAGTTTTCTGCGCAACACGACCGAAAACACCCCCAGAGATTAATGGTTTAAACACACGTGAATCATTTGTCGATGAGGCTGTGACGAGGTTCGAAAATCCACCAAGTAAGAGTTCGACAACTCACGCAACGTCTCACCAAATGAAACCCAACGATGCATGCACTGCTGCTCACGTTGTATCTTTTGCACACCAAGACTCTTCTGGCCCTAGCCAACCCAATGTGATCCCCGAACCTAAAGCTACGCCCCAAGACAATACCCAATCGCAGAGGCAGAGCCGTCCAGAACCAGGACACGCCCCTCAAAGGGTCGGTGCTGCCAAATTACAGCGTAACGTAAGACAACCAGAATGCTTTTCATCACCAGCGTGGTGTTTCTCGTGACCTGGATCCCTTACCTTGTTTTCACTGTCAAATACTATGCGACTCCATATTCTGATGATTTTGAGGAAATAATTGGAGCCATTTCGATCATTCTTCTGATCAACAGTGTAGTTAACCCACTGATTTACGGAATCGCAAACAGACGATTTAGGAACGACTGTAAGGAGGTTTTCCGCGAAATCAAATGCTTCAAATGCTGGTAGACTTAATAGAAGTCTGTAGTGTATTCTCAGAAAAGAACGAAAGGCACTATGAAAACAAGTTTTACTGTCATCAGATAACAAGTTAAGTAGTAAGAGAAGACAATGGTATCGGCAAATTATATTGAATATTACTAATTGCATGATATCCATCGTCGATTTGGTTTGGCTTTTTCAACCATGGCCCAGCCGAACCGCGTCTGGAGAAACAAACTCCTCACTCTCCGCGCCAAACCCGGATCTACACCACCTGTATCCTACCAATCCTCTTATATGGATCTGAGACATGGACGCTGCTCAAGGAGGATGGACGTAGACTCCAAGCTTTCCATGTGCGTTGTCAACGCCGCATACTTGGGGTGAGATGGTCTGATTTCATCACCAACGAGGCCAGCTCTCAGAAAAACCAGGCTGGAGGATATTCGCTGCATTATATCTTCACGGCGTCACTCCATCTTCGGGCACATTCGTCGACTCCCTAGCAACACCCCAGCACACGCCGCCCTCAAGCTGGCCGTGATGCATCTACAGGAGTCAAGCCTGATCCTGGTTGGTCACGACCACGCGGCCGACCCCGAAATACCTGGGTGGGACAGCTTGAGGGCTGACCATACTCTGTCAGCCCTGACCTGTGGCACACCTCGACTGATCGGTTGGTGTGGGTGGCTCGACGTCCCATAGCTGGATTTGGAGACTGATGATGATGATGATTACTATTTACGTCACGATGAGTGCGCTTTAACTGTTAAGTGAAGCTTTAAGCCTAATGCTCATATTGTTACGAATAGTTTACAAATATCGGAATATATAGAAATGAGTGACGTTTTTATGTATAATTTTAAGAGAGTGACTATACAAGGTGTTCATTGACAATCCGGCAACCAGCGACAATCCCATGATAGCATTATTAGATTTTGATTTCCTCTAACAACGAGCAGCAAAACGTAGGCGTGTTGGTTAATCTAGTTCCGTCTATTGAAGCATCGGTCTTCGTACGGTAATTCATTGACACCGCTATTCCTGGCCTACACTCCATGGACGTGGATAAACAGAATAGTCCATTAATGTCAGCCAGCAAAGCGCAGCAATTACATGGACCTAATCTCGTATGTTGACTGATCAGTCTTCATTACAGTTACCGAGGTAACGCACTGAAAACACTATAGAACACATGGACGTGGATAACCATATCCCATTCGCTCTTTTCACGGTCCGCCATTGGGCATGCACAGCCTCGATCTGGCAACTTAACACAATAAAAATAGCCCGGTTCAGTGATCTGAACCCGTCACTCAAAAAGTGAGGTCATAAATAAGGTCAATAAGTCCATAAATTTCAAAAACGAACAAATTTTCTACCCATTTCTTGATATCAGTGAATCGACGTTAATTATAGGACTACGGCCCAGGTGTTGTTATATGGGGGAAAACCTATTGGCTGCCATATCATTGTGAATATTTTACAGACAACACACAAGACGAATACCGAAAAAAGGGTTTTTGATCAACTTTTGTTTAGGTTAATTGGCTGGATGGTGAGGGGGCACAGACAATGGTGTGTCACTAGGTAATTTTCACTTCTTCTTTTTTGTCATTTGTAAGGGTCTCCGATATATTAAATGAATGGAGTCACCGGTAAATGTCAACATTGAAATGAATGATAACAGTTCACATGATTGATGGGCATTAACGTAACGGCGCAGGTTTTATTTTCCGAACTTATTTCGATGTGGCTATCATCCCAATTAGCTAACTTAGTTGGCTTTTTCCTTCGACCAAGATAGAAATGAATGCCGTCCACTAATGGAGAATTGCCTGGTGCAGGAACTTGCAATAACGGGCTTTGACTGCAATAAAGTTACCTTCATTAAAAATCCGTCAACCAGCCAAGATCCGCTAATAATATTCAATAAAAAGTAGCTTTGATACCCTTCAAACGAGCAGCAAGACGTTTGCTTATTGGTCGATCTAAATTCGTCCTTTAAAGAGTCAGTTTCCATTGCAGTTACCTAGGTAATGCACTGAAAACGCTCTTCCTGGGGCCTTCAGTAGATGGACGTGGCTAATCAGAAAAGCCCGTTATTGTTTGCCAGCAAAGAGTAGCTATCAAATTGATGTAGATTTATTAGAAGGGCCGAAATAGTCTTTTGTGTCAATTCGAGGCGGGAGGATTTTGCAGACGGGAGTAAATTGCAGGCGACACTACCGAACTGGCCGAAATGAGTGGTTCGATATAATTGTACAATATTAGAATTTGACGACTCATTCTTTCAACGTAGGCTCAATTTTCAGGGAGAGGCGAATCCTACGTTGAGTGAAACTTTACTTTGAATTGACTGGAAACACAACATGGAGAACATTTTCACCTCGAACGCAACAGCCACAAACGGTTCGGTTGATGAGGAGCATCCCTTCAACGTTCGATATACTATTCGCCTCATCGCCAACATCTTGGTGTTGCTACTCAGATTACCCGGTAACTGTCTGATTCTCCGTGTCTACTGGATCAAGACTCGTAAGACCAGCACCGATATTCTGATCAGAGCCCTGGCCTGGGCTGATCTGGTCGTCTGCTTTCTGAGAATAGCAGAGATCATCGCAATTTCTCTTAGATTGGCCGCTGAATATTCGATGTATTCCTTTCCCCCGGGCCCGGGGCTATTGATAGTATATGGTGTATTCATTGCACTTGCTGACGCAGCAATAGCCTCGTCATTCAGTATCACTGCGGTGATTGCGGTAGAACGCTATGACTGCGTATGCCGTCCGCAAAAACGGATTTTCAACCCCCGACGGTCTAAGATTGCTGTTTTGGTCGCAGTGTTGTTTGCAATTGCTGTTAATGCTGCACTAATTGCCCGGGTTATCTGCATAGGATCGTCTTGCACTGTTACCACTTCGTTTGTAGTATACTGGAACATAGAAGTGATTGTAGAGGCAGTTTCATTTGTAATCGCGTTGGTGATATTTGGTGTGTGTTACGGGAAAGTTTACGTCACCATCCGTAAACACGTCAAAGTAGGGCCCGCCCAAGCTCCAACTGCACGCGATGCTGAACGCATTCCGAGTGATCTGAGAGTCGGACGTCAAGTTAACTGCTCGACACGACCGACACCACCTCAACAGAACATTGACTCACCGACAAGTGAATCATTTGTGGAGGAGGCCGTGACGAGGTTTGTACATCCACCAAGCACAAGCTCGTCAATGCACGCAAACTCTCACCAAACGAAACCCAACGATGCATGCACTGCTGCTCACGTTGTATCTTTTGCCACACGAGACTCTCCTGGCCCTAGCCAACCCAATGTGATCCCCGAACCCAAAGCCAAAGCTTCGCCCCAAGACAATACCCCATCGCAGAGGCAGAGCCGTCCAGAGCAAGGACACGCCCCTCAAAGGGTCGGTGCTGCCAAACTACAGCGTAAGACAACCAGAATGCTTTTCATCACCAGTGTGGTGTTTCTTTTGACCTGGTTGCCCTATCTGATTTACGTTGTAAAATATAATGGGACTCCATATTATGATGATTTTGAGGAAATAATCGGGGCTATTTCGATCACTCGTTTGATCAACAGTGTAGTTAACCCACTGATTTACGGAATCGCAAACAGACGATTTAGAAACGACTGCAAAAAGGTAATCCGCAAAATCAAATGCTTCAAATGCTGGTAGACTTTAATAGAAATTGTATTTAGTTGTTTAAAAGAACGAAGCCACTTATAAAAACAAGTTTCACTGTCATCAGACACATTTTTCTTAAAAGTTGAACAAAAAGAGGGGAAATTTAAGTAGTATAAGAGCAGACAACGTTAACGGCTCTATGTATATTTAATAATAATGACGTCACGATAAGTAAACTGTTGAGTGTGAATGCTAAGTGAAGCGCAGTGAGCAAAAAGTAATATCCATGTGTGCATTTAGTGCGCAGGCATGCACTCAAAAAGTGACGTCACAGTAGGTCTACAGGCCCATAACATTATAAAACGAAACCTGTTTTGTACCTATTTCTTTATATTAGAGAATCGACGTTAAGTACAGGCCTACGACCAAGGCGTTGTAATTAGGAAAATCACTCGGCCATACCGTCATTATGAATAGTTTACAGATAACACACAAAGACAAATACAAAAATTAGCCTTCTTTTAGTCATTTTGTTAGCGTCCCATGCAGCTGTTATTATATAAAATGAATGGCTTTCACATGTAAAAGTGAACATTGAAATTAGTGCTGAAGGTTTGAGTGATTGATGGCCAATATTCGTTCGGTACAGGTTTTGTTTTATGAGCTTTCGGGTTTATTTTGATGTGACAATTAGCTGACTTGGAGTTCCTTGACAAAAAAAAATGAAATGAATGATGTCCACTAATGTGTAAATGTTAAGATGACTGGTACAGGGAACTTGTAATAACGTTATGTTCATTAACAATCCGTCAACCAGCGGCCATGATCTCTAATAATGTACAATACAGTTGAGGCTTTAATGCCATTCAAGCAAGCAGCAAGATTTCGGCTTATTGGTCGATTTAGTTTCGTCCTTTTGAAGAGTCAGTTTCCATTACAGTTACCTAGGTAATGCACTGAGAACGCTCTTCCTGGGGCCTTCAGTAGATGGATGTGGCTAATCAGAAAAGCCGTTATTGTTTGCCAGCAAAGAGTAGCTATCAGATTGATGCAGAATTATTAGGAGGGCCGAAATAGTGTCTTGTGTCAGTTCGAGGCGGGAGGATTTTGCAGACGGGAGAAATTGCAGGCGACACTACCGAACTGGCCGAAATGAGTGGTTCGATATGATTGTACAATATTTACGACTCATTCTTTCGACGTAGGCTCAATTTTCAGGGAGAGGCGAATCCTGCGCTGTGTGAACCTTTACTTTGAAATGACTGGAAACACAACATGGAGAACATTTTCACCTCGAACGCAACAGCCACAAACGGTTCGGTTGCTGAGGAGCATCCTTCAACTTTCGATATACTATTCGCCTCATCACCAACATCTGGTGTTTCTACTCGGAGTGCCCGGTAACTGCCTGATTCTCCGTATCTACTGGACAAAGACTCGTACAACAAGCACCGATATTCTGATCAGAGCCTGGCCTGGGCTGATCTGGCTGTCTGCTTTCTGAGAATCGCAGAGATTATCGATATTCTCTTTAATTTGGCCGCTGAATATTCGATGTATTCCTTTCCCCGGGCCCGGGCTGTCCATATTAAATGTTGTTATCAGTGCACTTGCTGACGCAGCAATAGTCTCGTCATTCAGTATCACTGCGGTGATTGCAGTAGAACGCTATGACTGCGTAGCCGTCCGCAAAAACAAAAACGGATTTTCAATCCACGACGGTCTAAGATAGCTGTTTTGGTCGCAGTGTTGTTTGCAATTGCTGTTAATGCTGCACTAATAGTCTATGCTATCTGCATGGGAACCTCTTGCACCGTTACCACTTCTTGGGTAGTATACTCGAACATAGAAGTGATTGTAGAGGCAGTTTCATTTGTAATCGCGTTGGTGATATTTGCTGTATGTTACGGGAAAGTTTACGCCACCATCCGTAAACACGTCAAGGTAGGGCCTGCCCAAGCGCCAACTGCACGCGGTGAACGCATTCCGAGTGATCTGAGAGTCGGACGTCAAGTTAACTGCTCGACACGACCAACACCACCTCAGCAGAACAATGAGTTACCGACACGTGGATCATTTTGTCGACGAGGCCGTGACGAAGTTCGTACATCCACCAAGCACAAGCTCGACAACTCACGCAACCTCTCACCAAGCGAAACCCAACGATGCATGCACTGCTGCTCACGTTGTATCTTTTGCACACCAAGACTCTTCTGGCCCTAGCCAACCCAATGTGATTCCCGAACCCAAAGCTAAAACTGCGCCCCAAGACAATACCCCATCGCAGAGGCAGAGCCGTCAAGAGCCAGGACACGCCCCTCAAAGGTCGGTGCTGCCAAACTACAGCGTAAGACAACCAGAATGCTTTTCATCACCAGCGTGTGTTTCTCTGACCTGGATCCCTTACTTGTTTTCGTTGTCAAAAATTATTCGACTCCATATGATGAATTTCAGGAAGTAATCGGGGCTATTTTCGATCACTCGTTTGATCAACAGTGTAGTTAACCACTGATTTACGGAATCGCAAACAGACAATTTAGAAACGACTGCAAATAGGTGATCCGCAAAATCAATGCGTCAAATGCTGGTAAACTTAGAAGTCTGTATTTATTCTTATAAAAGAACAAAGGCACTAAGAAAAACAAGTTTCACTGTCATCAGACAAAAACTAATTAATTAGTAAGAAACAGACAACGTTAAAGTCTAATAAATATTTAATATTACTAACGTCACGATAACTGCGCCGTCTTAACTGTACTCATATTGTTGTGAATAGTTACCGACAACACACCAAGACGAATACAAAAACTAGCCTTCTTTTTGTCATTTGTATATTCCCCGTATTAATATTACAAAAAAACATGAAGGCATTCACCTGTAAATATGAACATTGAAATTACTGATGGAAGTTTGAATGATTGAATGTAAATAACGTACCGGTGAAGGTTTTGTATTCTAAGTGAACTCTCTGGCTTATTGTGATGTGACAATTAAGTTATTACTGAGCGTTTTTCGATAAATATAGAAACGAAAGACGTGTTTTACGTGTTAAATGATCGACTGCATTAACGTTGTGTTCATTCAGCCAACCAGCCACGATCCCATTATAACATTCAAATACAAAAATGAGTCTTTCATGCCTTCAAGCTAAACGAGGCAGCAAGCCTTGGGCTTATTGGTCGATCTACATCCTGGCCAAATCTCGCTGGCCCCTAACCCCCAGCCCCCGCTCAATGTTGTCTCTCATTGCGCGGTGTGTGCTCCATCCCCCGAAGAGAACAACATTGACCGGAGGAGCGGGGGAGTTGGTGACCGTAGGAGGCTAAGGTATTTCAAAGTGTCCCAACCATTTTGGCCGGGATAATAGTTTCGTCCATTGAAGCATCAGACTTCGTACGGTAATGCAGTGACACCGCTATTTCTGGGGCTTACACAACATGGACATGGTTCATCAGAATAGCCCATTAGTCATACAGCAAAGCACAGCAATTAGGGGCCTATGTCGAACCTAATCTCGTATGTTGACTGATCAGTCTTCATCACAGTTACCGAGGTAACGCACTGAAAACGGAAGACGTACACTATAGACGAACATGACGTGGATAATCATATCCCTTTATTATTAATGATCAACTTTTTTTTAAATGCTATTAATGGCGATTAGAACTAAAACAATTTCTTTTGCAGCCTGGAAGAAAAAGAGTGCTTGCAGAGATGAATCTCGTCTCGAAAACGAAATTCAAGATTTGGCTAATAAGATTGCTCACGGTGATGATAGTCTGTTGGGTACATTGAAGTCTAAACAAACTAGGCTGTAATCTTCGTAAGACTAAATTGGATGGTGTAATGATTAGATCTAGAACAAGGTGGATGGAACACGGTGAAAAACCATCCAAATCCTTCCTTAATATGGAGAAACGTAATTGTATTAACAAGACTTT